GGTGCTTTGAGGCAGAGGTGGTGCAGAGCTCGTGTCCCTGATCCCGTCACCTGCCGGTGTCGCAGCTGGCTGCGCGGGGTGAGGAGGGGACCCGCGCCTTCCCGCCTGTCTGAGCACGCCGTTGGAAGCCGGGTGGGTTCCTCGTAGTCAGGTCCAGGTGCTGCGGCATCAGGAGTACGCCAGCACTCCCGAAGGTGGCGTTATCACACGCTGGTGTATTTCCTGGGTCGTTTGTTAATTTTTAAGTTCGTGATTTTTCAGCATCACAGCGGTGGGGCGCTTACATTTCTGTAGGCGGGACGTGCCTGGCTCTGAAGTGTAGCATATACCCGACGTTGCTGCCCGGAGGTGCATGGGACTTTATTTTGAAAACGCACTTGGGGAAACTCGTTTTGGTGGTGTTTAACTTGTGAGTAGAAGATGATATCTGAGGTCGGATACGTGTGTCCTCTTTGCTAATTCATTCCGCCAAACCAGGACATAACGACAGGTGGTTTTTTGTGCATCGGGGTGTATGTCATCCTGGAATGTGCAAGAAATTTGTGCATCTACTATGTGTGTTTGAGGTACTGATATATTTTTGTCTGCTGGAAGATTGATCTTACCTGTTTTCCCATCACCACCACAATTCCATTTTTGTTTTCACAGGTGCATCCACAGTCAGACGTTAAATATGCATGATTGTTTCCCTTGTGGTATAGCCGAGGCCCGAGACATGCCCTCCATTTACTCTTAACACTAGCATTCAGCAGATCGTTGCAGGGGTTTGATCAAGTTTGATTTGAACGGTCTGCTGAGTTGAGCTTTGATTTGCTGTTGACTGGGAGATAACGGGCATCCAAAGCCAGTCACAGCTCTCTTAGAAGATCCGGTGCCGAAGTTCTCAGGACTCTGTCAGGAAACTTGCTCTGACTTGTAACTTGTGTTTGCTGAAGGGAAGCCTCTTGCTCTTCTACTTAGAACTTCCTGCAGAGCTTAAAGCACTGGGTCAAAGTGTCTTTTTTATTTCATATTCCTTCTAGTTGTCACAAAGCCATTCATACATTTCATACAGGTTGAAAATAAGGCTTTTCTTATCTTGTATGTGCTTATTTATTTCCTCTCTAAATAGTAATTGGAGCACATGTAATCGGATGTTTGTTTTGTATTTTTAACATTGGCAGTACGTGTCATCTCACTTGCCCTGCTTAAGGTACCTCATTTGATGCTGTTTGGGAATCTACAGGTTATACTGGAGGATGTTATTTTCATTGAGAATAAAAATCAAGTGGTTCTTCCTTTCCCTGCTCCCCCCCTTATCAATGTAACAATAATTTGTTTATCACCTCAGAACCTGAGTTCCCCTCCAGTATTTGGATTTCACTAGAGGCTGGTGATGCAAAGTGAGGATAGTCACAGCACTGGGTAATCTCAGTATAAGCTGTAGAAATAAAATGGGATTTTTACTGTGGATAAAATTAATTTTTGTTTCTTTTTTTCTCTACTTCACCCCCATCCCCCCATAGAGGAAGTCTCGAAGGGAAAAGGGAACAGAAGAGTTACAAAGCTCTCTTGGAAGATCCAATGCTGAAGTTCTCTGGGCTGTATCAAGAAACTTGCTCTGACTTGTATGTGACCTGTCAGGTGTTTGCAGAAGGGAAGCCTCTTGCTCTTCCGGTTAGAACTTCCTACAAAGCTTTTAGCACTAGATGGAAGTAAGTGACTGCTTTTTAATTTCATATTCCTCTTAGTTACCTGTGCATCATTATACAAGTAAATCTATGGCTTTGTTATTTGTGACAAAAAGACTGGTTTTCTATTGTCTTTTTCAAATAACTAATGTTTCTTCAAGTCTCTGTATGGATTTAAAGTATTGCCCTGGCAGCACAAACCCAATCTTTATGTGTGATGGGTAAGTAATAGAATTGTTACGTCTGTGTTTGGGCATGGCATGCTGCTTAAATTCTGGGCTCTGGATAGCACACTTTCACACAGTTTACTGGTCAGACTGGTACTTTAGTCATCAAGCTGGAGTATTTTCCCCTTTGGTCTCTAGCCTTTTAATCTTGCTCAGGACAAGTGTTTGAATGGTTAAAGCCCAGAGGAAAATAGTCCATCTGCCTTTAGAAATTCATATTCTAAGGAATTCTCTTGGGTTGTATAAACTGATAGAGAGTGACTAGAATTCTAAAGCTTTATGACTAACAAAAAGTTTCTTTGCAGCTGGAATGAATGGCTGAAACTGCCTGTGAAGTATCCAGACCTGCCTCGCAATGCACAGGTGGCTCTGACCATTTGGGATGTATATGGACCCGGTAAAGCAGTTCCTGTGGGAGGAACCACCGTCTCGCTCTTTGGGAAATATGGGTATACTGTTTTTCCTTCTATGGTACAGATATGAATCTCACAAATAGTAAGGTGGCAGTGGTTACGAGAGTGGTTTTTTTAAACCAGGTTAACAGTTCCGTGTTTGAAAAATCAGGCACATAGATGTTTTACTGTCTTCCTGAGTGTAACTTCATTCATGCTACAGTGCTGTAAAATAAATAATCTTTTCTTGTATAATACCAAAATATAAGCTTTTTTTAAAGTCTGTAATCTTGCGTTTTAAGGTAGGAAATGCTGAAATCCCTTCATATCTATACATTTGTAATGCATGGATGCCAGTACTGATTACTTGATTGATTTCACTGGCTTGCAGTTGATGCAGTATTATTTATAAGGAATAAAGTGTAACTCAGTAAATCTAGAGTTTCCAGAATTAATGATCTGTGATCCAGTAGAGGGTGAGTTTAGTAAAACCGTGGATGATTACACTAAAATGGGAAGGATTACAGGTGTGCTGGAAGGTGACAATACATCAAAAGGATCTTGTCTAAGTGTAAAGGGGACTGAAGAAAATAGGATGCAGTTTAAGGAGAACTATGAGGCGCTGGTACTTTTTGCAACTGATTTTAGTCAAATGCAGAATGGGAACAGCTGCCCAGAAAAACAGAGGAAAAGCTTTGAGTTTTAGAGTGAATCTTAAGCTTTGCATGATTCAGCATCGTAATGCTCTTGTGAAATGTGCAAACACCACTGAATCTATAAACAACCTACAGGTGTGCACGGCAGGGACAAGGTTGTGTCCTCCTCTCTGTACTCATCCGCTTGCTGGGATATGCTCAGTTCTGTGTGACTGACTTTGAGCAAGTTGCTGACTACGGGGAGTCCAAGGGAGTCCCTAGCATTTACGGTTTAGCAAATAGGTGTGGTGGAAGACTAGTGAGGCTGAAGAATAGACTACAGGAACACTTTTCTAGTACGTAGATAGTGTTGGAAAATGAGGAAGCTAAACTGAAGTTCAGGGAAAGTTTGGTATTAGAAAAGCAGTTCTAGTGGTACTTGAATGCAGCAAATGACTAGGGAGAGGTTGTATCTCTGTGACTGAAGGTACTGCTTTGACAAAAATGTTGACACAGAGGCACAGAATCATAGAATTGCCTAGACTGGAAAAGATCTGTAAGATCATCTAGTCCAAACATTAACCTAACATGTCACGTTAGTTAGTCCCCCACTAAACCATGTCCCTAAGCACTACATCTACATGACTTTTAAAAACTTCCAGGAGTGGACCACTGTGCGGTGCAACCCATTCCAATGCCTAATGACCCTTTCAGTAAAGAAGTTCTTCCTAATACCCAATTTAAACCTCCCCTGGTGCAACTTGAGGCCATTTCCTCTTGTCCTATCACTTACCACTTGGCAGAAGACACCCACCCCCCCACCTCTCTACACCCTCCTGTCAGGGAGTGGTAGAGAGCTGTAAGGTCTCCCTGATCTTCCTCTTCTCCAGGCTGAACATTCCCAGCTCCCTCACCTGCTCCTCATAGGAATTGTTCTCCAGACCCTTCCCCAGCTCCGTTCCCTTCTCTGGACATGCTCCAGCATCTCAATGTCCTTCTTGTGGTGAGGGGCCCAAAACTGGACACGGTACTCAAGGTGTGACCTCACCAGTACCCAGTATAGGGTAAAATCACTTCCTTGGTCCTACTGCCCTACTAAGACATTGTCTTAGGGCAGAATATTGAAGTGGACCAATTGGACTGAGACCTAAAGACTACTACAAGTTTTCAAAGCATTAGAGCGTAGTTCCTGGAAAAAGATATAATTTATAAATTAAATTTACTTTTGTTTCCAGCATGTGGGGCCTGGGGGTAGTAGATGGACAGACAGCAACAAATAAGTTAAAAATGTTGTATTTGCTTGTAAATGGAAACCACTGTAGCAGTGTTACACAAAGGGATGTGTAAATTCAAGGCCGGGTGCTCCTTCCGGTTGGTATTTCTCATTCTTGATGGTTGACCTTTTAAAAGCGTTCCTTCCAGCTGTATTTACCTAAAGTTGTTACAGTCAAGTGACCACCTCTTATTGGCTAAAGGAACGCACTTGATTTCTTGGGGCATCTTTTATAGTTGGATCAGCACAAAAGTGCGAGGGGAGCAGGGTGTTGCGGAGAAGCGGTGTGGTCAGTTACCCTGCGAAGTTGTGTTCACTGCACGGTTTCAGTTACCAGTTTCAAGCATAGATGGAGAAAATGGTGTGTTGGGGGTTGTGGGGTTTTTATTTTTGTGGCAGCTCGGAAGGCTGCTTTATATCTCTTGACCTTCAAATGAAACTTAGGCAATTTTTTAGTTGATTTTTTTTTTCAGACTGGCAGACCTAAAGTCAGTCTTGTAATTTGCAAGTTAGGAGGAGCACTTGCCACTTCATTACAAATAATGAAACTGTGAAGGTCAAGCTCTGTCCTCAGTTTCCATTTGTAGCACCCCACTAACTTTGAGAATTATCCATTTTTCTTCTGCTTGCCAAATAAGTTATCTCAGACTTACTCATTTTGTTCTAAACTCCATGTGTCAGTAAAAATGAAGGCCATAGAGGGCACAAAGGTGCAAGGCGTTTTTGGTGTTATGTTAAATTGTACGTGGCAGTGGGTGCTTGTAGGTTTGGCAAAGGAAGCCACTTCCACTTTCTTGCATCTCTGCTGTACTTTGATCGCGGACAGCTGTATGATTTTGAATTTAATGATGCAGTTCTGAATTTTCTCTTGCAGTATGTTTCGTCAGGGAATGCATGATTTGAAAGTCTGGCCCAACGTAGAAGCTGATGGCTCGGAGCCCACCAGAACTCCTGGGAGAACCAGCAGCACAGTCTCTGAAGATCAGATGAGCCGCTTGGCGAAGGTAACAGAAGAGCACGTAGCCCTTGAGACGTGTGTGAAAAGCTTGCACTTTGGAGTGAAATGGTGACAGGATGCATGTGTTGTTTACTCTTGTGAAAGCTGTCTTCCCTTGGTTGTTTGACTGTTTCACAGGGTTTACACAGTAGACTGCATCATACTCATTTGCCACTGAAGTGTTTTTTGAAAGGGGACATAAAAATACCTTTTAATATACATAGCATTCTGTTGTAACAACTTAGCATCCTAATTCTTTGTAAAGAATGAAAACCTGAACCTGACTTGATGCTTGAAGCCAAAATTCCATCAGATTCAGTGAAAGCAGCTCCTAACAGGAAGTTGTGAGGACAGCCCAGTTTTTTCCAATAGCCATCCTTTAGATTTAGGACTGTCTGTTGTACTGTTCGGATGTGCATGACATACCTCTACGTTAGAGAACTGAAAAAATCAAGTTTAATTGATTCAAGCTCATGAATATGTGTGTATATTTGTATTTTCTTCTCCTGGCTGGATTGCAGAGTATATTTTTTCCATCAAAACTATTTCTGGAATTGACCAGTCCATGTTAGTTCTTGAACTGTTGAACTAGCTGATCTCTCGTTCTTCAGGTAACCTTACCCTAAGCTTGCTCTTGCTCAACTTACTTACCCAGTGGACTCCCCTGTGCTCCCTAGAAATACAAATAATGTTGAGTATTTCGGTTTTAGAATACTTGGGTGTGTTCTAGCCTCTTCTTCTGGCATATGGGAGATGAGGGCTCGAAGGAAGAGGAGGGAATTCTTTCACATCTCAGTTGAGGGTTCTAGTTAATGGCTAATAAAAAGCTGATATCACTGCCACTGTTCTCTTCTGAAGGCTGTTCTGGGAGATACTACGTTCCAGAAGATAAGAGTGTTTTCACTGATACTTTGTTGTGTTTGTTTATAACAACATTTTGCCATCAGACGCTAGGGCAGGGGAGTAGGGTTTCTGGGTAGTATGTCTGTGAGACCTGTCATTTGCACAGCTGTTTACACAGCAGCTGGGGTTCTTGTGGTGTGTCATTCCCAAACAGCAATCGTTTGGGCACAGTCAGCTTCAGTTTTTCTGTGGCTTACTCACCACTTGCTGAATGCCTCCTGATGGTACTGTATGGGAAGGTGTATTTAAGTACAGGTAAGAGGAGTAGGACTAATAAAACACAAGATGAGCTTGTGTGGACTTTCTTATTCTTGGTTGTGTTCATTGTACACCCTTGCTGATAAGCATTGTGCCATTGGTTAATGTCTGCTACCGGAGGACACCAGTGTGACCTCTGGTATAAGTAACTTTTGAGAAGAGCTTGCTGAAGGACCTTCTCTCCATCTGAAAGTTGACGTTTTGTTTTCTTGACACGCTTCTGAGTTGGTGTGTTTGTGTGTGTGTGGGTTGTTTATAGGGAATTTGTTTAAAATCAATGACTGGCTGCTGGAGGAGTTTCATCCTTTACCTTAAATAGTTGATAGTATGGCGAGTCTCATTTCATGTTGAGGTGCCATATAGTTGTGCTCTTACAAAATGCATGAATGTTGCTTGTAGAATTGCTGCTGATGAAAAAGCCATGGCTTTGCATCCTTGGGGGGTCATTGTGAATGCAGATTTTGCCTGTGCTGTGGAATACAGATGGGAGGAGTGTAGAATGCCTTAGCACTTTCAAATATTAATGACATTAAGATGTTTCTCTCATGAGTGGTGTGTTAATTTATTCCACTTCAACAAAAGTACTCCTAAGTTCTTTTTTATCCATTCATTTCTCCCACACCTTCTGCTGGATGAATGAAATCAGATAGCAATGGTGAGATAGTATTTAAGAGATGCCTCTTATTTAGTAGCAGATGATGGATACTTCTTTCCCCGAAGAGGATGCACTAGCTTCTCTCTTAACTTTAAGCATTAAATACTAATCCAAGAGAATGGTTCTTGATGTATATGTGTGTGTATATATAGAGAGAGGGAGAGACTGGGTGGAGAATGGATGGAGA